TAATATAACTTGCTTTTATACATGAACAAATCAAATAAAAAAATAAAATTAAAAGTTTTTCTATAGTTAGTGTGCTTGTTCTATGAAATATTTTGCAGGAATATTTTTTATACGAAGTATATATAATTGTGTAGATAATATAAAAATAATGAATATGTACATATTATTTTTTTAAAAAACATATGTTTGATTTTATTTTTTTTCAAACCAAACACACCCTTAAATTTTTGCAAGAACAATACGAGACAAAATATTAATGACCCAATATCAAATAATATTAAGTTTACACTATTTTTTATCATAACCTAAAGGCCTAAACGTGTACGAGTAAATATAGATTATCATATTTATGTAAGTAACTATAGTTTGTTTTGTTGTTGAAAGAATGTGAGACAAAACATAACTTTATAATAATTATTAATGTACCCACTTTTATCTATGAACCAATTGGAGAAAAGAAGAAAATTATAAAATTTGAAAAATTAATATTGTAAAAAGGTAGATCATTCATCTTTCAAGTAATGGTGTCACGCGGCAGTTGGAAAATATAGAGATATATTTAAACTCTAATTGATTCTGATATAATGTAGGAAATATAATAGAGAACTAGAGGAAAAATATCATTAAAAAATATCATTACATTTCATCATGAAAAAGATGAGAATAGTATATAGATAGAGAGGTATTTAAAAATATATCATATCAAACTAAATCTAATTAAATCATAGATATGATATGATATGATGGATATGAATAATGAATATGGATATAGATATGGAAATCTAACACTTCCCAAAGCCGTCGGGGAAATCGGTGGAATGTGGCCTGAATACTTCTATTGCATCCGAGGAGCCAAAAGGGTTCGTGTTGGCCTCCATTTTTAAAAACCCGATTGTCTTAGCAAAACATTAATTTTTGGAGCGAGGAGGGCACACATTGTGATACATAGATCCAATTCCGTCCCAACAACACTGAATATGTTGCGTCTGCATCTACGATGAAGAAAACCGTAAAGATAGTTTTCGGCCCCACTTCGATTGGTGCAACCATCATTCCTTCGGATTTGATTGGCTCACCAATGAAGCTAGTCATTTCAATATCAACGGGAGCCAGGTCAGATATACCCTTGCCTAATTTCTTGAGAATCCTTAATGATATAACGTTAAAAACTGCTCCATTGTCAATAAAGACCCTGTCAATCGGCGGCCTTGGAGGAAAGTTGTGCCAAATTCTCAATGTCATGGGCCGTAAGGGCTTCCCTTAGCCGTGCATTTCGAACCATCAAATTGATCATTTCTTCTTCATCAATAGCTGTCGGACAACGTCCCTTTAAAAACCGAATTCGCTTGATGAGTTGGGGGGCATTCTCTTATAGTATTTCCCTTGTTTCCAAAAGGTCGGTAAGAGATACCGTTGGGTTTGGATTAAAGAAATGCGTGTGAAATACAATCTTCAATCATTCTCAAGTTTGTATTTGCCGAGGTGGGAGGTTGACAAACCATGAGAATATTGTTTTTGTTAATGACAAACCAAATAGTTGAAGTTTGAAGTAGGGGTTGTTCCCAACTTCCTCTAACTGGTTGTGAATCTTCCAACATGCTCAATAGTCGAGGCATTGTCTTCTCCAAAGAATGTATGAAAGTCAGGAGGTCGGTAATTTTTTGGGAGGGGGCGTCATTGACGACTCTTTCCGGAAAAGGCCTTTGAAGGCTAGCCGATTAGCTATCTGAGGATTCATTTCAAAGTGCACCCTTAAAACTTGTGCCACCTCTTCGGATCAATCCTTGGTGAAAAACGATCGGGGATAAGGATAGGTTAATGTGTCTGTCCTCCTGGTCGCTCTTCACATAAGTTGAGTAAACCGGAGGAATGAATTTAGGTCTTGTCCCTATTGGCATATTGTTGGGATATGTAAGTGGAGATTTCCCTCTGTCCACCCTATTTGGGGTAGTAATACTCGAAATAATGCTATCCACATAGGATGGCCCAGAAATTTTTGCCTGAAGTCGGGAAAGTGATATTCCCAGCGGTGTTGAGAAAGGGTACAGATTAACCCTCGAAAAGGCTTGATTCAAGTCGCGCAACATTGATTGCATGGTCGTTTTTTGTTGATTGTTCAATTGTTGAACATATTCTAACCATTCGGCCGAATTTTGGATGAGCCTTCATGTAGTTGGGACAGTTGGGGCGTTGATATAGAAACTCCTATAGATGTGCTGAAAGTATGCGGTTGTGAACTTTCCATGTAGATATTTCTGATAATTCGGCCAGATCGAAGATGTATGTAATTTTCGTCGGAAGTAGAACAACAATCTTATTGTGCCTCCCACTGTGTTCGCCAAATTGTTGATGTGGAAATTTCAACAACAATAAAATAAAATTCGAAAATATATCTCAAATTTCATGATTTGTGCCAGAGATTGAATGAAAATATAAAATGAAACTGAATACAAGTTTGATCCCTGGTGAGATTTTTTGAATATTCGGTGTCTGTTTACCTTCATTGAGACTCTCTCTATATAGAACTGTTAACCGTCATTGAACTAATCCAGGCCAATTACTCATATCGTGCACCAACTAATGACAGTTTTTGGTATCGTAGTCTTTCTTATGGAGCAATTACAACTGTCTTTGATCGGCCACTTCTTAGCATAATTAGCTTTCAACTTTCAATCACAAGATTTGACGTTCAACAGCTTCTTTCTTCGGTCGCTAGCACTGTTTCTTAGTCGGTCTCTTACCCTTCTATGGGTTCAGCCTGATGGACTCCAAATAGACTCAACCCTAGGCCCAATCCAGCTAGGCCGTAAACGCAACTCAAATTTCATATCTTAATAAAAAATTATTATTATTATTATTATTATTATTGCAACAAAACAAACTAAGATGATTGTCTCTCTTCATTCCTCCCTCACCCACTCAAAGTACTAAGGCCTCATTTGGATTGGCTTCTACCGGGACCTTTTGGTTTTTGCTTTTAAAAAAAAAAAAAAAAGCAGTTTGCACCCTTCGGTTCAAAAGCAGAAACAGTTTTGAAGCTGAAAAGTGTTTTTTTTTTATTTTTTTTAATTTTTTTCAGAAGCACATTTGGGTAGCTAAATAAACAGAAGTACTTTTCATTTAAAATTATTATTTTATTTTTAATAATAATAATAATATAATAATAAATAAAATACAATAATATAATATAATATAAAACTAAATAACTTATATATTATATTTTAATAAAAATTAAAAAATATAATTAATTTATTATTGTTAATTTATGTATTATATTTGGATTAAAATTTAAATACTGAATTTAAATAGGAGTATATAAACTTTTTAATTATACTTAAATTACTAAATATAATTTATAAAATATTAAAATAAATTATAAAATACAAATTATTTAATATTATATTGTAATTTTATATTTAATTGATATTATCCTTAAATTAAAATTTTGAAATATAAATAATCAAAATTTAAAAAGTACAATTTTTATACGTTAATTTGAAATATTTAAATATAATTTATAAAATTTAAATTAAATTATAAAAATGTTATAGAAAAATACTATTATATTAACCGCATGTCCTTTTAAGTAATTTTAACAGTTTAAAAGCACTCTCAACTATATAACGTCCAAACCGTTTAGCTTCTTCTGCTTTTGGCTTATGTGTCAATCCGAACGGGCCCAATTAAGTAATTGAACAATTTCTTGTTATCGTGGCTAGGGATGAGAATAGGCCACGTTGCGTGTCAGAGCTGGCCTACATAAAGCCTAGCCTAACCTAATTTATTTACTAAAAAATGTTAGATCAAAATTTTATTAAAACTTTTTCATTTAAATAGAATAGGCTTAAACTTTAAAAAAAGCTTTTTTAATTAACAAACCACCTATTTATTATTTATTTTTTTTTGTAAAAATATTTTTATTATATATTAAAAATAATTTTTCATCTAATAACAATATTTATTAAATAATTTAAAATTTAAAATTTATTATAAAAATGGAATTTTTTAAATTTTTATATATATTAAATAATTGTAAGTACTTTATTTTTTTTATTTCTAATACTAAATTTTTAAATAAATAAATAAATAAAAATATTATGTAGTCTTTTAAATAAGCTTGTAGACCAAGCCAGACTTTTAAAATAGCTAGGCTTTAAAAAAAAAAATTCAGACTCCAAGCTTAGATCAAATATTTTTAAAACAGGTCAGATTTATTAAACCAAAATCTGGCCTAGCCGAACCTATTTCCATGGCAAGAAAAAAAAGACTTTGACTACTGACCGCGAAGGAGACGAGAAATTAAGGTAAGATTTATATACCCAAAAGAATTAGGAGAAAAGCTACTAAATAAACTAAAGCGGAAGAAGTTGATATTGACGATGAGGATGTACCAGGGCTAAAATAAAAACAAATGAGAAATTAAGGGGATTTCAATACAATAACTGAAAGTGGATTATCATATTTCATTCCATCAAAGAAGAAATTAATTAAAAGAAGATGAAGTAATAGTTTCACTGACGAATGAGGACCTCCAAAGACAAGATCCAATAAAAAAAAATAGAGAAATTTTAAAATTAAAATAAAAATGCGAGTACATATATATACACACATATATAGCAAATCGAAGATAAGGTACTCAACTTTGTTAGTTAACTAGAAAGCTCGTTCGTTCCAAAAAAAATAAATTATTATGATAAAAATAAAAATACACAGTCGAAAAGTGGCAAGTGCAGTGGTGCATTGCCATTTCATAACCCATAAGTTTTGACATTTTGAAACGACCTACATAGGAGCTAAAGGACAGTTAATTTTGTTATATTTATATTTTTTTAAGTTGTAATATTTTTAGTAGAAACTATTGAATTTTCTAAAATTTTCTATTGCTCAACATTAAATAAATAAAATAAAATAAAATGAATTGACATTTTGCTCCCTCCAAGGGCCAGTTGCGTCACTGCATGCACCAATTACTTACTAACCCTACAACTAACTCAAACAGATTAAGCTCAAAAGGTAAAACGACAATAACAGCAAAAATCCATCCCTGCTCAGCCTACTACCTATTTAGTCAGTTAGTTGGTTAGTTATACACTTCCATTTACATCTTTCCCTCTTACCATCATTAATAATAACAATAATCATAATAATACAAAGTATTACAAGTCCAAAATTCAACCAACGGATTGTTATGGCACTCATCTACTCATTATATATATATATTGATGCTTACCGAGCAAACACAATATAATAATCTCTGTTTTTGCCAATACCTTCTTCATTGGGTGCTCGGGAATACTACCACTACAATTGCCCCAGCCGGTCCTGGTAGAAACCACAAATGCTAAAGATTAAGCATGGCAATCAACAAGTTTATGAAAACAGAAAAGTATATAGCTTTGCATCTATCTACCACAGTATAAATAATTAGCCAACAGAAATGAGAAAATGCAAAAGATTCTGACCTGCAGCATCTGCATTAATTTTGGATTTTGTTCCAGAAGCTGACATAATTTGTCTCGGTCACTCAAAAGGGACTGCAATTCAAGTAATCACAATTGTCAAAAAAAAACAAAACCCACTTTATAATTACCTAACATTATATTATAATAATATCCCTGCAGTATAAAGTACCTGAATTGCTTCAGGGGATCTGAAGTACTCTTGTAAGGACATTCCCAAATCTTGTTGCTGAGATGCAGCATCTGCCGGACCAGGCATCTGCATGATCCTTTGTGAGCGGTCAACTTGCTGCAGCAACAAATGTGATGCATTCTCTTGCTGTTGAGTTTGATAATAAGATGGCACATTGGATACTTGGGGCTGCTGCAGCGCTTGGGATGATTGTGCAGGAATTTGTAAGGTGCCTTGCATCTCTGACTGTGCAGCAGCAGGTACAGGCGGTCTAAGATGCTGAGGTGGAGGCCGAGGAATTTGAGGTGGCTGCAGAGGCTGTAGCGGAGTAAGAGTTGGCATTGGTTGAGCTGAAGGCATAATAGAGAAGGGAAGATTTTGAGAGACATTGGACAAACTATCTCCATGATTTGGGGTCGAATTATTCCCATGACTCACTGGGATGGAACCTGGTCTGTAAACCATTGGTTGCTGCATCAATGGTGGTGGAGGAGGATACGATGTTAACATTGTGCGTGAAGCTGAAAGGTTCACTGCCCCATCAGTTGACATTACTGCAGAGGCTTGCTGAAGCTCAGAACTACTGACTGCAGGAAAATACTGCGAAGCGGAATTCTTTAATGAAGTGTTGGCAGAATAAGGAGGAGGTGTTGGAGGAAGTGGAGGAAGAGGCCTCATAGCTCCAGAAACTGCTGATCGTCCAAACTTCATATCTGTCAATGAAGGTGAGGAAACCACTGGTCCAGAACTGTTTGCTCCTGAAGATGCATATCCAGGGTGAACCTGCAATATAGAAAAAGTGCAACACAACATTCATACACAGAATAGAAGATAGCAATTCGAGTCGTATATGTATATTTTCATACATGGAAGTATGGCGGAACCTGAGCCTGAACATCGACAGCAGACTTGCCAAATGATGACGATGCTGCAGGATCTATATTCTGTGACGTCAATGGTGAAACTGTTGGTGGAGGTGGCATTGGAGGCAGAGGCGGTTGGTTTGAAGGAAAATTCTTTTCAAAGAAACCTGGAAAAGCAGTGCTTAAAGGAACACTCCCACTTTGTTGTTGAGTTGATTTGTAATACATGTTAGGTGGTGCTCTGGCATCAACAGCAAAACGAGCAGAAGAGGAATTATTCACGTAGACAGAAGAAGCAACTCCTGAACTACAGCTCACTGAAGAGGGATCAATTGCATTAGGTCTATTCGGAAGAGTCTTCAAGTTCTCCAGTTGGTCAGGAAACTTCTTATCTGAAGTAATACTTGGCTCCCGAGTCAAAGGCATCTCCGGACGAGAGGCAGAAATTCTTGATGAATACTCACTTGGAGTATTTTCATCCATGTTTGATGCTAAAGGAGTACCCAGGCGAGAGCCTTGACTACTTCCATTGAAATCGCTCTCGTTCTCCTCAGCTATGGAATGAGGAGAAAGTGTCTCAGCTACAGCAGATGGAGGTTGCGGTAGATTATCATCAGGTTGTGGAAATGGCAATTTATCATCAGGTTCAGCTTCTTCAGCATCAAAGACGATATCAATTCCCTGAAGATCATCATCAAGATCTGGCTTCACCTGCCTAGGTTTGCTCAACTTTTCTGTGTCTATGCTGTCCTCTGCAGCTGTTGTTTTCACTTGGTTAGATAAATCATTAACTGCTGCACCCACAATATTTTGGCGCTCCCTCTGTCTGGCCATGAACACATCCACATGAACAGATGGTGGTCGTCCACTTGAGGATCCCATTCGTGAGACAGCAATTACACTAGAAGTATTAGTGCCATCAGCATTCCGCTCTCTTGCAACATAGTCATCCACATGCATAGAAGGAGGCCGACTAGTGTTTGGCTTCCGCAGTCTGAACGCATCCCGGCGTGTGGGACCTGTGGGTGTGGAAACAGGGGCTGACCCTCTAGAAAATGTACTTTGTGAAGTAGCTTCAGCAGCCAGCGCATCTCCTCTCGCATGCCTATTTGGTCCCTCCAGTGAGGAAGTCTTTCTTTTTGCAGAAAGGCCTGTCTGAGCCAACCTATTTCGCAAATTCTCAGGGCACTCCCATGAGAACATGGCTCCAATATCATCCGAGGTGCTATCTTCAATATGATCCATCTTTCTGTCACCAAATTTATATATTCTTGAAGAAATTGGGGAAACTAATGAGGCATAACTGCTGGCAATTGCAGAATATTCTTCTGGGTTCATAGGTTTTTGCAGCAAGAGCAGTAACAACCGTGATACCTCCTTGATCTGAACTTCGACAGTAAAAAGATTTCACAAAAGTCAAAATTAAATGTATGAGAAAAAAGAGAAAGGTGTGGAGCAATAATTTAAACCTGATGTTGTGTAGGGTGACTGTCAGAAGCTTCATTATTAGTATCAAATCCAAAGAATCTTGTGAGATTCTCAACATGCTTCAGGTTTTCTTGGACAAGATCTTCGGAGTCATTCTCAATTCCAAACAATAACTTGATCGCAACAACCCTCTCCAAGCTCACACTGAAGAAAGAATACAAGGAAGTCAAAACTATCTGTCATGGGACTATTGGCATGGAATGAATAAATTTTACATGAAACAAAACGGAAATTAGAAGTGTTAACGGAAAGAAATCTGGAAAATAACAAAAGGCGTGAGGATATAAAAAATATAAATAAATAAAAGGGGAAAGCAAACAAGAGTATTTTAATCAGGAAATCTTGGCAATAAAATTAGGATATAGTTATATAAAAATTAAATGGTAGACATTGAAATGGGATTCAAATACTTATGTCTTTAAAACTACTTTATTTTGTTTTTAAAGGCATCAAATCCAAGGATATTTTCAGTAAAGAGGGTTATAAAGAAAGATATGATGAAGGAATTTTCAAAATCATATTTGGTGCTGGTACTTATAACGAAATGGATGTAGGTCTAATTAAACCCACCAACAATAAACTACTCATCCGCTTCTAACAAAGGGATTTGGTCATTTGGAATGTGTTTTTTTTTATTTTCTCTATTTTCTTATTATAAAAAAATTATTTTCCCTCCAAAAAGTTATTATGGTGGAGCAGAAAATTATTGTGAAGCAGTCAAGCAGAATGATTCAATTTAGTGGGAGCAAGCCATGAAAGAGAGACGATAAGTTCCTTGCACAAAAACAAGAAATAGATTTTGACTAATCTTCCTTCCGACAAAGAGGCGCTTCAAAATATATGGGTGTTCTGAATCAATGATGAACCAGATGGGTCGAGGGTTTCAGGTTGCTGGCAAGGAGAATTGGGTCTGCAAATTGAAAAAGAGCTTATATGGTCTGAAAGAAGCCCCCAGACAATGGCATATAAAGTTCGACAACTTCATGATGAGAACGGGGTACAAGACATGCAAAATAGACCATTGCCGGTGCAGACATGAGAGAAATTAATAAGTTAAAGCAACATATGTCTGAGGCATTCAAGATGAAAGACTTAGGTCCAGCCAAATAGATACTTGGGATGAGTATAATCAGAAACAAGGATGGCCCTCTGACACAATCTCAAGAGAAGTATATCGGGAAAGTGTTAGACAAGTTCAACATGAATAGTGAGAAGACTAAAGTTGAGAAACACACCTTGGGAAGCCATTTCAAGCTTACCAAAGATCAGTATCCGAGAACAGAGAAAGAAAAGGTAGATATAGCTAAAGTCCCTTATGCATCTGCAATTGGCAGCCTCATGTATGCGATGGTGTGCACGTGACCAAACATTGCTCATGCAATCGGGGTTGTTAGTCACTACACGTCAAACCCGGGGAGAGAACATTAGAAAGCCGTCAAGTGGATATTAAGGAATTTGAAGGGTACTTCCAAGATGAAGTTATGTTTCAAGGCAAAATCTGATGCCAATTTGGCTGGATGCAAAGAGACGCTTAAGCGCACTACAGGGTACATCTTCACAGTGGAGGAACTGCAGTCAGCTCGATGTCTAAACTTCAGAAAATTGTGGCGCTTACCAAAGGGTTAGTTTGGCTAAAGAACTTCCTCCTAGAGTTGGATAAAAGGCACACAGATTATTCACTATAGTGTAACAATGAGAGTGCAGTTAAACTTGTAAAAAATCCGGTATATTATGGAAAAGCGAAACATATTGGGATGAGAATCATGAGATATCACTTTATCAGAGAACTGATAAGTGAAGGAACTATGAAGTTAAAAGAACATCTCAGGCGCTATAAATCTGGCAGATATGTCCACAAAGACTGTTACGCTGGACAAGCTAAAGTTATGCATGACTAGCTGGGCTTCATGAGAAATAATGAGAAGACCGGAGCAATCAAGTGAAGCTGAAGATTTTACGGTAGTACAGTGTAGCGCAGATGTTTCGAAGCCTCCAAGTGGGAGATTGTTAGATGTAGCCTTCTTTACGGTAGTTAATCCTAATGGGCTTAGGAGTTCGGGCCCAATTGTGATTAAACCTAAGCCTAGTCTATAAATACCCTCTGGTACTTTAAAATCTGTGCCTCATCATACTGCAGTAATAAGAAAAAATTCTTGATTGTCCACGTGGACGTAGGTCGATAATCCTTATCGGCCGAACCACGTAATCCTTTGTGTTCTACTTTCTTGTTTGTGTATGTGAGAGTTAATCCTGACACTTTTTATAAAGTTCCAACATAAATAACAAATTGGAATTGATAGGATTTTTGCTTGATTAAATAAGCACATCACATTAGCGAAAGACTCCCTACATCCCGAAAAAATACGCTTGTTTGGTTGGGCACAGAGCCTAAAAAATAGTATTTTACTGTAAAAATAAAAGTTCTGGTAGTGTATGTGTGATGCAATGACAATGGCAAAGTTGTTGTAATGTAATTAAATTATGGGTAAAATTTAAGTGGATAGAAAAGGTTGTTCTTTGTGGTATAAGCATAAATTTCATGAACAAACTTTAAAGAAAAGTAAACATAAATTTGGTGGACAAAATGAGTAACTAACATAGTTCCATTATATTAATTTTTCCCATATTAGAGTATCTCCCGTATAAAAGAGCACTATAATGATATACAATTGAAAATAAATATCTAGTTTTAAATTTTTTTGGACATTTGGTTTTAACTAAAGGCCAACTAACCCAACATGCAATTTATCATCTCTCTTCAAATGTGATACCCCGGAAAGAAAGTTGTCCAATTCACCATGTCTAATTCCATTCATAACAGTTACACTATGTTCATTTTACATATTCTTTTCTTAGCCTCTCTACAGTTGTTGATTTAAGTAAGGGAATAACGTAATTTTAACTGAAAGAAGTGTAGAAATCAAAATAGCTAATAAGACTACATTTGATTAGATGAGGGTTCATAGTAAATATGACATTATCACTTTAATTATTTTCCTAATATTGGAAAAGTATGCAACTTTTAAGGTAGAATATGGTTTTTTATACATTTGAACATTAGTAAACGAAGTAGACCAAAAGGCCAAAACATGTAATCATTATCTCTACTCAATACTATGTTGGAAATATGAGCTTTTTTTGTTTTCCATAGCGCAAGTTACTACTTTTTAGGTTCGCTACGACTTCAGGTAAAGTTTAGACAAGTTTGGGTCTCCAACACCGCCGGTGGTCTTGCCCACACTCTATGTATAGTTTTACTCAAAAGACAAATGATATATGACAGTTTATGTAGGTACCATAAAAACCTCTTCAGGCATAATTAAGCATAACATGAATTTGATTTGTGTAGGTTTAGGAAGAGATTCATATAAGCAGCAATAAAAAGGAAAATAAATGAAAGAGCAACAAAGTACCTTTCATCATCCAGGCAAAAGCCTAAAGCACCTGTGACTAATGCGCCAACTGCATCCATAACTTGTACTGGAGGAACTTCCTTTGAATTAATGGATCTCAACAAAGTGATCAAGCAGGATAATAATGGAGGGCACTCCTTCCAATCAGACAACGCATAAATTATGCTACAGCTCTGATCACTTTCAGGTTGAGTTTTAGACTCAGAATCCTTGTTTTCAGAGCACTGCAAGTGCTTCACAACAGCAAGTAAACTACGTTGTCCTTCAGCAGAGGAACCCATCTCTTTAAAGGCAGACAGACAAGCATGCAATTCTGTTCCGACTGGCAAGACCTACGATATGAATGAAAAATGGCAGAATAAAATAAGTTTATAAAATAATTTTTAGAACATATTAAGTGGCCAATTATAAGCACATGCAGCAACATTGTCCAGGATAAATTAAAACCTAATCCAATTTCCAAGTGCCGTAGTAGAGAATAGTCATACTCATAATAACATCACATGTGAATAAATATCCCTGTGAAATAATGGATAATACCAAACTAATAAAAGAATGTGGCATATATATGACCCTTCTAAAATATATTCATCCAGGAGAACCTGTGCAATGTTCATTAAATGTGTAGTAATAAGAATTGCTTCTAAAAGAATGAAAGCTAAGTTCTCGCTGCAATTTTATTTTATTTTTTTATATTAACACGACCATCTTTCTCCACTTACAATGCTTCAAGCATGATATGGCTTGACATTCCGTATAGTAGCATCAACAACAAGTAAAAGCTTTTTGATCCTCTGTAGCAAAGCTGTACTCAACTAAAAAACATACACTACTAGTCCATTTGATTTAGCATTCAACATCCATACACCACTTCAAAAATATCAATCTAAAATATATTTCAACACATACCATACACAAGCATGGTTCAATCCTTACATAGTGAACAGAATAAATGTCATTGTAAGGTCAACATCATGAACTAGGCACAGGTCTGTTTATGAAAGTATAAATTAATAATGATAACAATATATGACAGCTCTGCTCTACTCAAAAGGGAAAATTCGAGAATTATAGATGTACATGAAGTTGCAAAGAGGGAATCTACCATGCACGCTTTAAGGAGATATGACCAGAGTATGAAGAATTCTTCAGATGTAAAGCTGCACTGAGTGTCTCTGATATGCACAAAAGAAAAACAAAAATTGCACATCAAATGTCTATCGAACCAAGCACCCAGAAAATATTATGTAGAACTAATGTGAAATTTTCTGACCTTTCATGCACTGCAGATTGTTGAACAGGTGCCCGACAATCACTAATCAATGAGATGGACCGGAATATATGTATAGACCAACTTACAACCGAATTTTCATAGTTTAGATTCATGTTTTCAGGAAACTTGACGCCAGAGTTGGAAGCTCCAAAACACCTCTCAAGCACTTTCGAGAACAACTGAAACCCACCCTCTTCCAACAATAGTGGCTGTCATTGGAATGTCACCATACATAACTACTTGGCACCAGAGAGAATGAAAGGGAGGTTTAATTTATAATATGAAGAATACCTTAGCACTTGGATGCTCCATCAAGACACAAATAAATTTAAGCAACTGGTTAACCTGTTTAAAAAACATTTAGTACAGCAAATACGGGAGGAGATTGCAATGAAAGAAAATGTAACTTTAGAAAAGTGAGCATATAACCTTAAAAGTGTCCACGTCGGAAAGCTTTGAAGGCTCTAAGAGGCGATCAGAGATCCAAGACATTGTGGGTTTTATCAAGGCAGAAGCATAATCAAGATTCAAGCATGCAATTCGAATCACAAAGACACGTAGAAGATCTTGTATGACAACTGACATCTGACATGACAAAGCTATCATTAGGTGGAAAGATCAAAAGAGCTGATAAAGATGAAAAAAGAAAAATGAGGTAACCATACCACAAACCGGGACAAGTCAGGACAATGCAATACCATCATGAAACCAATATAACAGTACAGCATAAACTTACACTCAAAGCACAATGCAGTATAATTTCCCCAAGTTTCCCAAGTTGTGGCGACAACTGAGCTAGTAGCTTTTCAGGATTCCCAGGCCTTAGATACCAATTAATTTGTTTCTCCTTCTCTGGACCCAGTAATATCCCGGCAGCCATGCCCGTTAAGGGGCTCTGCAAAGGCATTCCATTCTTCCACAGCCAAATACTTTCTCCTGGAAATAGTTCATTCTAGAAACACACAATGTAGTAAATTTTGTCAAAATCATATTTTATTATCAGATAAAATATTAACACTACTATTTCCACAATGCTTTGGAAGAAAAAAAGGGGATTAGAAAGTCTGCTACCAGTAGACAAAATAAACTGCAGATTTCCTTGGGGCCCAGTGCCAACAATGAAGTTGCATTGAGATTGTCCATGAGGAAATGGAAAAGTCCAGGAATCCAATCGTACACTGGCCAGTAAGCTAGAGCCGATGCAAGCAGATGGCAAACAGTTCCGAAACCAAGTACAAAATCAGGACAAGAACAATGTAGCTCCACCACACTGGCAGCCAGCTTGGGGCTGTAAATGGAAAATATGTAAAATTATGGTGAAACCTCAACTCTTTTTTTTATATTCAATAAAACGAAATACAGTTTCCTTACCTCACTTCTCGGTGCAACTGTAGAAGTGCATCCATTAGCTTTGAATTTCTGTGTTGCTCCTTCGTCTCCTGAATCCGAAAACAATGTTGCAAGACTCAATAACAAAGTAGACATTTCAACTTCACATAGTTCTTTGGTGGTCAAGATATCACAGGAACATAGCCCTCAATTTACATAAAAAAAAAAAAATTCTTAACTCTCTCAAACTTCCCATCAAGCAACAATTGAGAAAACAGCAGCACATTGTGAACATCCAATATTAGCATATACTTCGAAATTTGAAAGTCAAATATTATGCAAGAAAGATGATGAATTGCCTTCAAACAATCTGAATGAGGTTTGGAGAAATGTACATCCTTCAATACCAATTACCTCACCATCCAATGTACCGATGTAGTACAAGCTTAAAAATTACGCATATATATCATATGTTGGGACTAGGGAGATAGATCATGGTAGTTAGTATACAGAAAAACAGCCCATACCACAAGCTAATCAATCACTGGAATAACATCTTTGCAAGGTATAGAAGTTACCTTTAATAAATCCGAACTAAAAGCATAGCAGACATCCGAATTTGTATAGATAATTGGACTAAAATGAAAATTAATGATGTGTTCAAGAAATCACAGCACACACCTGTAATTTTTGTAACAAATTGATCAGCAAGATCAATGAAGGAATCAGCAGATCAAACAGGCTTTTCTCACGGTTTCGCTCCATAAGCAAATCAGAAGTAGAATTTCCTTCAGCCCCCTCATCAACAAGATAATCTGCTGATGACAAAAAACTGAGCTTTAGAATCATAAGCAAGTTTCAAAGTGCATTTCAAACAATGCTCTTGGTTGGATTCACAAGGCAGCCCCCTTGGAAAATTGAATTCAAAGATTAATAACCTCCGCCACCTTATCTCAAGATGCCCAACTACCTCCTTTGAGCACATCCCCTGATGTGCAAATGGGATGGCAATCTTCTTTGCATAACAAGGAGCAAGAGGACTTGTTGATCTCTCAACTTGGACGTAATTCTATGAACTCAATTTTTAAATCTGTACCCTATAATATATACTACACTACTTGGATTTCTTTGCCTATAGTTGGGCAAGCCTATGTCTCCTATCTTATTGCCATAGTAGATATCTGTTTCCATTCTAGAAACAAAAATTTTCAAAACAAGTGTCTACCATGTGTGTTGCTAACACGCTCAACACAAGCAACTGCATCATTACATAATCCTTGCCTACTAGTAATAGAATCTGGTACCTCAAAAGAAATCAACTAGTTGTCACCAAAAGAAAATGCATGCAATGATACACACCCAGAACAATGCAGTTACAGAAATTCAAAAAGATTCATGGACAAGGTAAATCATCTGCATTCTGCAACAGGACCACTGAAAGAAAATCATTTCATAACAAAACATTATAGTATAAGAAACATAGCGTATATATGTTGGAACAATGCAAAACAATTATAGACTGACACCCCAATTTAACAACTAAAGTATTTTGTAATGTTCATGAACAAATCCATAGCAAAGGCTGATGAAATTATACCATGTATAGAGAGAGAGATGTGAGATTCTATGTTTGGGCAACTAGAAAGACAAATATAGTTCAAATGATATATCATCCTAGCGACTCAATATTTGATACAGCATTTCAACTATTTATATTTTCTTTTGAAAAGATAAAAAAGTAAAAGGAATGTCCATTTAATCTTTTGCAAACACCAGAAAACTACAATTCTAAATTAAACATCATATCATTGCATTACACAACAAAATCGACACTGATCCTTAGAGAAGTGATCATTTTAGTAGAATTATACAAATGTTGAGATTGTTAAAAGTGTCTATATTAGAAATAATACTTACCATAAGTATTGGATGACCTCTCTAGCATAAGTCTACAATTTATTATAATGGCATGGATAACCATTACAGCACCTTCATCATAGAGGGAAGCAGCGACAACCTTTTATGTTCATATAAGAATTCTCAGTACTGTTTCACTAATCAAAAAAGCTGAGAGGGGAAAAATTAAAAATAAGAAATTAACACCATACCGAATTATCTGAAATAAATGCCAAAATTCGAAATGCTGTAGTGAGCTGTGCGATAGAGGAATCACGAAGAATAACACCAGAAAATTCTTTCTCAGTTATATGTTTTCCGACGAGATTATCCACAGCATTGCCATCAGAATTATTAGAACCTCCAAGCACATTATCAGCATCCATCATGTCAGATGCCAAAACACTGTTTGAAGCCATGTGAACATCTTCTCCAGAGGCCAATACAGCAGCATACCGTAAAAGTCCAATTGCCCCATTTTTATTGTAAACCAAACCAGCATCTATCCATTCCAAAAGGCGTGCAGGAGCATCTTTCTTGTTGGAACCTGGCGAGATGGAATGCAATGCCTCATGCAGTTCCTTTCCACTGTCTATCCATGATAGCAAAGAAGTTGCAGCAGAATCCATTACAATAACTTCAAAGATCTCCGCAGTAGCATGAAAGATGGCAAGACTCAACGGAGAGACTCCTGGGCATCAAGAATATATTAGATATAGAAGTATATTAGTGTGAGCAGTCACAATTTAATGTACCAGTGTTTGAGGAAACAGGTTCACATTCCCCCTCAGAATGTAATGCAGCGATCAGAACTTTAAGTGCCTGCAAAAAGGGAAAAACATGGCTGTTCAAGAATCAAATCAGATTGCAGATGATTTAATGGGAATGTTGGGACTCAGCAAAGGGATGATATACATGCTACTTGCGAGGCAGTTCCTGATCACATAAGCTTTAAAACTACCAAGCATAATCATTTCAACTGTGATTAGGGATGGCAATTGGAGCGGGGGCTGGGTTCGGGTTCAAAATTTTATAGGGGGACAGACTATGGGTTTTGAAATTTTAAACCCGGCTGAGTCCGGGGCGGATTACGGGTTTGATCAAAAATTCATCCCGAACCTGGCCCCGTCTCGAACCTGCTTAAATTAATAATTATAAAAATTAATATTATAAATGAATAATTATTTATATTTTGTAAATTTTATAATTTTAACCTTTTATCATATTTACTATTTTTCATTTTTGAATTTTTACCACGTTTAATGGTGTTGTATCTTTCAATTGACTAATTTTTCAACTCACTATTATTTTGTTACTTATCGTTATATCGATGTCATTCCGATTGAAAATATATTACTATATCTATTATTAAAATTTTTAAAATTTAAAAATTTAATATTTAATATCTTAATTTTTAATTGTATTTTATTATATAACCTATAAATAATAAAAAAAATTAATATATAAATATATTTTAGAAAATAAGATGGGTTTTCCAGGTTGGCCCAAACCTGGCGGGTTGGGGGGGGGGGGGGGGGGGCTGACCCGGGGCGGGACGAGTTCTAAGTAATAATTTTCTAGCCGGACAGGTTCTCGGGCTTGCAAAACCCATCCCGAACCCGCCCCGTTACCATCCCTAACAATGATGGCAAACACAAGATTTTTTGTATCATACAATAAGAAGCTAATGAGAACATGCTTCCACAAGGACCATTTCCATGTAATGGCAGCATAAGACCGTTAACAACATATACCTCAGGAAAATTCACCAATACCAACACAGCCTGTCGGCCACACTCGGACCTGGAATTGGGAAATTTGAAAATCAATCCAGTAATCAAATAAATAGCAAACCCATTGAGCAAGACAAAAGGCATACAAGACCTGGAAAGGCGACAGAGATCCCACAGCACCCATAAGAATTCTTCGGTATTTGGAGTCAACTTGCATAATCTATCTACTGAAATTAACTGACAAAATTCAAAAGTAAATATATTTGGTCTTGCAAGAAGTTTAAAGAAAATAGAAAGAAAAATATAGATTGTGATAAAGGAAAACAAGAGAAACCAACACAACAACAATGAAAACAATATCGAATGAATCAGATTAAATCAGGAATGGCACAATGTACATGTAAAGACATAGGGGAGAAAAACTTACTGCCCTCATATGCATCTCTATAATCATACCAACTTCATTAGGATAACAAAAGAACCCTTTTGACAACAAAGTATATGCATGGCGAAGTGAAAGAGAATCTTCCTTGTGAATATACTCACGACCCCACAAAGCATGGATAATGGTTGAAGAAACCTCTGGATCTTGCATAAGGAAATTTAATCCTGGCCAAAGTTTTCAATGTAAGAGACAGTATCTCAAATGTTGAAACTGAATTTCTGATTCTCGTAATGTAACAGTCATGAAACCTGAGCGACAAAAGAGTAGTGAAAGAAGTATCACTTCAATTTGTGAAACAACATCCACAAACAAGTCCATTGCATGCCCTGTTCCTGATCTCAAGGTTGAAGATGACAGCAAAGCAGCTGACAAAGGAAGAAAACCCCTCTCCTATTTACAAACATGTAAAATCAAATCAAGATAAAAATAAAAAAATAAAAAAAATAAAAAATCACAATACATCATTGAACAAAGAATTTTGCCAAGTTGGGGGACTAAAAGACAATGAATTACAAAGAAGATATAAATAGAAGCATATATTGTGTAGCACACCAATAAAGAGCTAAGGCAATAGGAATACTTATTACACAGTAAACATGTAGTTTAAAGCAGAATAGAAAGAATATCTGAAATAAGACATCCAGTTTGTAAATGCATCAATATACAGTAATTAGTAGGTACGAATACTGCTAGGTGTGGTTCCTCAAATTCACAATCCAGCTTATCACTGACAAACTCACCACTCACAAAACATCTCCATTCTCCACACACTTCAAACTCCGAAAAGTCAATTCACTACTCTGGGAGGCCTACCATTCTGTGAAGTTTTGCAAGTTCTCACATTCTGCCAGCCTTGATTTTTGTTAGCGCGTACACTTGTCATGTTTTTTCTCCCCATGACTCCAGTAAATGTGGGTTGTTATACCAAGTGTCATTTTTTTTAATTTAAATTTTAGGTAAAATACTGTTATGCCCATACGGCATACACAAATATATTTTCAATTGGTGTATAACTCAGGATGTATGAGAGACATCAAAATATCCAAGAGATTGTGAGCTATGAACGATCTACTTCCTCTGTGAATTTCGTGTATTTTGTAATCATCGTTGTGGATTCTCCACATAATTGCTTGTATAACCCTCATTTCTTTTACACCTTATTTACACATCATCTCATTTGGATTTGATTTATAGCATTTTTGGGGATTCAAATTTACTAAAATCCATCTTTATCAGTAAAACTATACACATATTCATATGATCCTAACCTAACAATAAAGGGCAACATCCAGTTTGCAAATGCATTGTTAATATGACATACAGTATAAATAGATATCAATGATCTTAACCAAACAATCAAGATTATATGTGTGCGTGTAATCATAATTTAAGAATCAAAGTTGAGTAGTTTGAAAGGTTAGGTGCCCATAGGGATATCAGAAATTCCTGAAGATATCATGTGGAAAGTGATGGGCCATTTGTCAAGCATTCCGGCTGCACTTCTTTTGGAACCTAAACCTTAATGAAGTACATACGTGTTGACTATATAGTTCAGATATAGTTAGACTAGAATTGGATTATTAGAGTTTATCCATTTGGATAGACTGCTAATTGTATCCATCAATCTATCTACATATGTGTATGTGTAACCTCAAGTATGTTAATATGAAGAAATCTATTTACAACATAGTAATAACCAATAAAGAGGTACAGTAATATAGATTGGTGTTAAACTCACTGTCACAAGCTAATACCAAATTTAAAAATACATACTCATCATCTCAAAATTTTCTGATTGCATACTCATGTCTGAGCAATATATCTCCAAGATCCTCACATTCCATTATATGTTCACAGTTCATGATGTTTTATTCCATAATCTTTTAGATCCAAATTACATTATTTTATTTCTTAACATTGGCGAAGGTACATTGAATTTTATGGGGCATGTGTACATTTGCTCGTAGAAAATGTTTCACCTGCCACATTCATCTGTTGGTTACAGTTTAGTATCATATTCTTGAAAGAATATTATTACTGGAGCAGGCTACAGGCTATTATGCATGTGCAAATGTTTAGTCTATTCCCAATAATCATAAAATTACATAATACAACTAATAAATATACATAGTTAAAATGAGCCAAAACTAGTCATAAATAACTGGATAACACAGACCTAAAATAAGCATAAATAACGGGATCAACCAACACAGCATAAAACGCAGTTGTCTAATGTTATTCTAAGAATACTACTTTGTGGAACAAATTAACAAAAATCAGTTAAGCAACATTAGACAATATCTTATAATTTTATGAGTTTTAGACCATCTTACCTAAACAATGTGTTGATCAAACTCATTTTCTTATTTTATCTAGAAATTTGTATGTGAATCTTCCGTTCTTGGTTGTCTATGTGTGTGTGTTTTATACCTCAAAAGAGTTTAAACTTAAATCAAAAGGCTTAGAATCATAGTTGTCAATCACGGATAGTGGTGCGTAGCGATTAACATCTAAAATGCTATAGCGGAATAGCGGTACGACCACTATTTAAAAATTTAAAAATATATATAAAAATTATTATACATACAAATTTACAACAAAAATTATATAAGAAAAACCTATAAATTAATCTCATAATTATCATTCAAAACAATTACATCACTATTGTGTGATATATATATATATATATCAAAGCTAATTAGATCCAAAATCTGATAAAGAATTTTCTTCTTCATTTTTGTCATCCTGACTACTTAATTACTCTTGCCTATATATTATTCCTCCTCTTCTTCATTCTCATCCATTTATTTTATTATATGTTCGTCACCTACGTAATACCATTTCTCTCTTTAGAGCTAGAAGTACTTATATAAGCCTGTTAGCTCCAGTAGCATCATCAATAACTCCTCTCGTCAAATCATCATTGTCAAAAGACTAACTCATCCTCTGCAATTATCAACTTTTTTAATTAACCACTCATTGGAATCATCAATATCGTTCACAATAGGACCAATCACATTATTGCTACCATAACGATCTAACAAATTTTGGTTATACTTGATACAAATCAAATTTTGCAACTTTTGACTATCTAATTTGTTTATTTTCTTAGAATGAATGTTAGTTAAAATTTTGCAACTTTTGGCTATCTAAAAATTTAGTTAAAATTTAAGATAAATGTTATTATAATAAAATACATTTTATAATTAAAGTTATATTTCAATTATTTATGTGTTAAAACATAACCCAATGAGCTATAATAGCAGTGTAGCAAAGTGTAGCAGAGTGCCGCTACAGGCCGCTAAGCCCCTATTGCCTAAACACGGAATTGCAGAGCGGTTGTAGTGAAAAAGTGTCTTTCCACTACGCTACACCACTATTGCGGCGCTAGCGCGCTATTGACAACTATGCTTAAAATTTAAAATATAGCTAGCATACCACATCATCCAACCAATAATTTATATAAAGCCACACAAGAATAACCTGGGTCTTCCACTATAACAAAAATGACAAGAAAAGACGCTCAAGGAGGAAGAGGATGAAACAGCAGCAAAACTTGGTGAACTATAATATCCTGAGCTATACAGTATTAATCAAGGAAACAATTATATAAAATCATACCTTCAAAAGGGAAAGTAAATACGAGTCAATGTCCCAATTTAGAAAGCCACAATTTGACAGCTTGATCAATCCACTGGTTGCTTTATATGCCAATACTCCAGTATCACCAAGGATGGAAGATTTACTAGCCGCAGCCATTGGAGAAGGATCATCAATTGGACTACTCAACTTTATCAATTTCTGCAACAGCACTTGCCAATAATAGATTTGCATTCAGAAAGAAGGATTTCCCATTAACTACAGATGCGAAAGCATCCAAAGAGTGATATACTTATGTATATTACACAATTGAAATCAGGAAGAGTCTCTTTTTCGGATACAAAACAAATCTAACCAGGAGTTTCTTAAGTTGCATTTTAGCACTCGCAAGCATGTCCAATATAAGATCTGTAACCAGGCCATCAGTAGAAATCCCCCCTAAGACAGATAGCACAGCCTCCTGCAGGTTACGAACATAGAGTTTGAGTATCAAACTAAATGAAGCTCAATAGAATTTCATTCTATAGGCAATGTGCATAAACAACACTTTCACAACCAACTAAAGACAAAACATTCTAGCTCATTCAAGCTACCTGATGGATATGCATTTAGTTAAGGTTACAGCAAAGGGAGCCACTTTTGCAAGTCATGTGATATCCTAGAATCAGTAAATATAATAGAAATACTTATAAAATCACATACTCAAATGATGTGATACTCCAAAGATCTTTTTTCTCATACATAGGCAATGAACACGATACACATACATCTAACTGAATACCCAAGCACACACCTGATTATAGATCAAAGTTATCATGCGCATAGTTCTCAAAACAGGATGTACCTCATATCTACAAGAAACTTCATAAAAACGCAAGCGATGAAGTAGATAGGTTGATAGAGAAGCAACATCATGCCTCTGACTCTCCAACAATAACTTCAGCAACTGACTATAGCCATCACTAGTACCAGATGGTATGCTTTCATCATCACGAGGCCACCATCCCAGGAAACCTTCACAACCAATTGAATGTTGGGTAGCCTGCTCGATGATTCCAAGCAGCAACAATGTGAAAGCAGTGGAGTTCAAATTCCGGTGAGCGAAGATATATCCCAGTTGCTTCATCCCACCATAATTAACAAAGTGAAAGCAGCTCTCTCTTGTGGAGCATAATAATCGAGCCAGGATCAACCACAATATTGTATTCTTTTTCTAAAAAGAAAAATAAAACCAAGACCAGCTATAAGTTACACATCACTTGATAAGCAGGTGTGAAAGGATGAAAAAAAAAAATGAGAACAATATCACTAAATTGATATTAGTGTCATAAATATATGGACCAAAGCAAGTATACATAGAACATACAATTATAGCTACCTGTGAAAGATTTGGATATCCAGTATTTCCAGAGTTACTTAAAAAATCAAAGTGCTGGTGTAGATAATCCATCAACTCTTTAGAAGAAGGAATGTCCACTTCACATTCATGAGGCAAACTTTCTTCTGAAACTTCCTCAGATGATTCCCTAAAATGAAGACTTCTATAAAGGTCTAGAAGTTCCATTTTAGCTTCAGTAAGAGTTTGACCAGCACTGCCACTACTTGGCAATTTATTATTTTCTAGTTCACTTGAATCAATAAGTTTGTGAAAAGCACTAGGTTTTCCAACAGATGATGCCACTGATAATAAGGAATTTATTACTTTATCAGTTGCCATTCCAGGTTTCAGAGATTCCAAAACATTAAAAACTAGTTGAAGAAATTTTCTTAATTCAAGTTGAATATCCGAAAAAACAACTGTTTCAGATAATATTGTCATCGGAGATACAAGTTCCTTAATTGTTGGTGTCGTGGGATGAAAAGCAGGAGGCAAATCGTCCATGTTTCCTTCAACAGCGCTAACAGTGTCTGTCATAGAGCTATCTAAATCAACTTCTATGTTGAACTGTCCCAAATCTTCGGCTGTATTTCCATATATGACCATGCTTAAGCTTCGGTAACTGCCTCTTACAACCAAATGATTTGTAACCACTGCCTACAACATGTAAAAGAAATAAATAAATAAGTTGCTATTATACTTTATCAAGGCAGCAAGAAGAGCAATTTTAGACATCATTGGCAAGTATTGGAAACTAACAATCAGAAGAATAAACAATTGTACTAGTCTAAAAGGTACAATTATGCAAGGTAAAAGCTAAAGTAGTTTATCTTCAGATAGAAGATATCCTCTCCATAAAATAGCTTGTAAGATATTGCAAGTGAGATAATGAATGTATAAAGGAAAATTCTATTATTGAAGAACACTCATGATCTGCACAATTGTAAGGTTTTTAATAAACAAATTGTAACTGAACTAGTAGGGAAATGTTCAGTTAACACTTAGCATACAGGTATATTTGTTCAGCGAGAAATTTATCAAGTGCAAACAAAAAATTTAGTGATAGTTTATTGTATAAACAAACATGAACAAGGATGCTGGCTTGTTCAATGTTCATGAATTTATTAGTTAATTATATAAAGTCTAAGGTATTCATTTATCTACTTACAAGAATAATAACCAATTAATCTAAAAACACAAACCATCAAAATCAAAATGATAATTTACTTCTTCCTCTCTAACAGCATCATCTTTATTGTGCATTATATGTGTTTACAGGTCCTTGTTTTCCAGTTTCCAGTTATATTTTTATGTATACCAGTAAAATTAATGTGTGAAACAAAAAGAAAAAATTAAGAAATGTGTCTTCTTGTCCTCTTCACATGTACCTTCGTAAAAGGTGCATAAGTATGGGACGTGGTGAAGCTGCATGCCACAGAATGGAGAATGACACCCAGGATGCACCATGCACCACTAACAATATCGATTTGTTGATTTATCACTCTTAATATAACAATATAATATATATATATAAGGAAATAGATTTGAAAATTTTGTCCTATAACTGGATTGTAGCTCAATCAAAATGTTCCCCAAGCAACTTATTAGTTTGTTATTAATATCATTGAGCATTCTTGATGGGCTTTCTTCATTGGTTATTAATGTTCATGAGCAGCTTCTTCATGTGTTCAGAATGTTCATAGTCAGCTTCTTCATGCTACTCATGTTCATTTAATGTTGTTTACTGATGTTAATTTATGGTAAACAAACTTTTTGTTTACTTGTTCACAAAACAAAAGAATTTCACTGAATACTTAACAAATGAACCCAAAAATTCAGAGTAAAAACACAAACAGTGATTAATGATCATGAACAAGGATTTCTTCACACACAAGCTTATAGCCTACTTATGTTCTTCGACTGACCACCCTACCAAGCATCCACCAAAATAAACCTCATCATAAAATATAAACAAAAAATATCACTAATGCATAGGAAAATGATATAGTGGTAAGAAATAACTCTGAAACTAGCATCAAAATTTTTTAATGGTTACATACCTCAACCTCAAGCACGTTAGAAGACGAATGGGAATACAAACAAGGCAGGCAAAACCGCCTAAATCTAGCCTCCCCTTCACACTGGATGAATACCTCCAACGCAAATGAAGGAGGAGAAGTGGCCCTTCACAAAGCAAAGGACAAGCTATAATTGCATGTTAATAGACATAAACAAATGTCACGAGATGAAATAAGTAGTCTGAAAACTACTGAAAGCAATGAATGATCTACTATATCTTCGGCGGTGTGGGGGGGGGAGGGGGGGAATTAAATTAAGAAGCCAGGAAATCAAATTTTTAGTACAATAATGCCCTCATACCCCATAAGTTTCACAGCAGGACAAACTGACGAAGCATTCTGCTCAAGGAACTCACAAGCAGTGATGACTACAGGCTCTGCAAATAAAACCTGGTACAAAGTAGTAAAAATGAATAACATTCTTTGAATTTAATATACAAGCCAAGGAGAAATGGTGCATAATAAATATGAATCAATCCCAAAATAAGCCTGAGAGCAAGCAAAATATTAACAAATATAAAGAGGTTAGAAATGCCAACAAGAAGGTAATACACATTGTTAGATGGGAAAACAATACTATAAAGAAATCAAAATACCATGAGTGCATGATAAATGCATGTGAATGGTCATCTTAAAAAAATAACAAACAAATGACAAACTCCACTGCATTGATAAAGTTAGTTCATCTTGCCATCACCCCACTACCCCACCCCACCCCACCCCCACATCAGGCATTCACAAGAAAGTATGAAATTAGAATTGAGAGTTAGTACATCTATCACACTACATCAGATATCACTTATACTAAAATAAAGATAGTTCAACTTCCATTATATTTGCTCCTAACATAAAATGATTTGATTATCTTTGATGTTTTGCTCTAAACATGAAAGACAGCATCCATGTGGACAATAGCACTTCATAAATAAAGCACGAAAGATAAAAATCATTAAGGATAAGTGACAGTTGGGAAGATAAAACTGATTGTTGCAGAGCTTAGTGAAATGTGTAATAAAGTTACAAGTTCATAGATACCGAAAACCGTTGCACATCTACACTTTGTTCTGTAAGTAAATTGGGGGCAAGAAATCTTGTCGTAATGAGAGAAATAATAGTAGTGGCTAATTTTATTGTTTTAATTTTGCTATTCATAAATTTTATACAATGTATTTTTATGATGAGATGGAGTATACAAGTGTGGTTTGATCTTAGAGTGAGAAGTATCAATGAATGTGAAGATATATATATTAAACTTATATTCTAAAAAATTAAAATAAATCATACTAAATTAAAATAATTACTTCTCTATGAAAAGAGAGAATTTATGCGTGGTGGGGTAGATGTTTGAGTGTAATATGAGTTCAAAGAGCATTATAACCAAACTAACCGATAGTTATAGAATTGTAGATGTTAGTTATTCAAATATGGAGGACCACATGGATATATACAACTAAGTTTATTAGGTTACATGTAAAAGTAAAATATTACCAAAGTGGCATTGACACAAGCAAGAAAAGCAAAACAAAAACACAACAGGTTACATGTAAAAAGTAAAATATTACCAAAGTGGCATTAACAAGCAAGAAAAGCAAAACAAAAACACAAAACCCCCCCCCCCCCCAAACAAAATCATAATATAGAGACCTTTATTTCATAACATGGAGATACGATTGGCTTCCACAGCAAGTTTTCAACTTAATAGAAATGAGAAGTTGCACTAAAGTCGCTAGCAAAAATCTCTCCAAAATTCCTCAAAGAGAGAGAACCCTGCACCATCTAGAACCTCGAAAGCAAATATCATACTGAAACAAAACCTTCCCGATGAATCATATCTTTATAATAATGGCATTTGAATGGCACTTTTTCAGTAAACCCTTCCTCTGTATATATAACATACATTTCTCTGGTCAAAAGTGAAATAATACCCATTTAGTGGCACTGATTTTAAATATCAAATGAGAGATCAATCATTTGCATTCATTTCCATCAGCATTAGATTTATGTACCGTAAAGGAGCATTGATAGATTCCAGCTCAAACTCGTTCAAGATAAATATTATTATTGATATCAATGATGTATTACTAGCTAAATCGGGACGGTCTAACAAATATGATCATAAACATTTTTTTTCTCCCAATTCAAAGCTACTGCAGCATTAAGCATTGGAAGGCAAAAAAAATCAGAACTAAATCTTCAATTTTCAAACTGTAGGAAAGCTTTAAGTATCCAAAAATAAAGTTGAAAGTAAATTTATCTTATGCAAGATTTCTAACCAGCCTAATTGAGAAATTCAATGAGTTAATGTGACCAGAAGTTATTATAAAATATTATAGATATTCAAGAGAAGATATATATATGTGTGTGTTGTAAAGGTGCCACCAATGCTTACTGAATGTCATAATCCCATCCCAGCCAAACCCACACCAAGAAAGAAAATAAACAAGCCCTCTAGCAGGCAATGACAATAAAAATTTCTAAGAAACAACCACAAGACAATAAACCAGGGAACAAGAAAATAGGAAAATAAACAATATTGCCTACGGGATTTCCACAAAGAACATTGATTTTAGTGAAGGTCTTCTAATTACTCTAAACAATAGTTTACTGCTTCATTGTTGCTTATATATATATATATATATATATACACACACATAGAGAGAGAGAGAGAGAGAGACCCAGCATTCTTCAAGTGGCCAGGAAACGAAAATAAATAAATTAAACAGTAGATAAAATTCCAAACAAAATATAACAAGAAAAACCACTCTTATATCATACGATTAAACAAAATCCTTATGAAAAGAGTGCGAATATTGTCCACAAATTTAATCCTGAAACTGTAGGAAAATCTAAAGTAAACAAAAATCCGGAGCAGTCATTAAACAAACAAACAAACAATCAAGGGAAGTGACCATTAATTGATAGAAGTACCTCGTCGACGTATTCATCAAGGTGCGGGTGGACGAACGTGTGGGCGTAGAGCACGCAGGGTTCGGATCGAGCACCCATCGTTTTCCTCTGCCTGAACCCCAAACTGTTTAATTAAAAAACCCAAACAAAGGAAGAGGACGATTCAGAGGCCGCTCATGAGAATCCGTATGTTGCGATATATCAAGTCGAGGCTGGAAGAGTTGCTGACGGCCGAAGCATCGCCGGGGCCGGCGGCGAGGAGAGACCAAATCCTTTTAGGGCTTTAGTAGCTGAGTAGCGCGGAACGGATGTCGCCGGGGCCTCGAGGTCAAGGGCGGTTAAAAGCTCTTGCACAATAATTAAAACTAGGGGTGTATTCTACGAGTTTATTGTACTCTAAAGATTTTAGATTTTAAAAGAGTCGAGAAATTTGGATGTTTTCAATTCATATAAAAAGTTTTTTTAAATTTAAAAATATTCAATTATAAAGTTTAGAGATATTTAGGGAGTATTTTATTTGAAGTTTTATTAAATTTTATTAGATTTTGAAATGTTTTAGATTTTTGTAAATTTAAAATTCCACAAAATTTATGTGATAAATTTTATTGATTTATTTATTTATTTCAATAGATTTTTATATATTTGACAGAATTATTTCATAGGATTATAAAGTAATTTTTTATTAATTTATATAATTTTATATGAAATATATTTATAAATAAAAAATTAAAATTATTAAATAAAAATATAAAAAAATATAATATTATAAAAAAAAATATTGCAGTTAAGAATAGTAAACACAACTTCTAAAATATACTATTATAATTATATTACATTTTTATAAAATCAAATATATATGAATATACTAACATATTATTAATGATGTATAATAAATTAATAAGTATAGGATAATATTATTTTTGTATATTAATATTTTAAATTTCATAATTTTCATCGTATTATTATCCAATATATTAACTAGTTTTAATTTGTTAGATTTTAGTATAATTTTGTTATATGTGTATATATCTTATTAATTTAACAAGTTTGATGTGAAATAATAACGAGATAAAATGGATATTAAGCAAGTGATTCGAGTTTAATTGTTTTTCATATATTTTTTAATTAAATTTATTTAGATATTTTATATGCAAGTAGAAATAAGAACTAATTTAGAATTTTAATTTCCGAAAAATTTACTAATAATTCTCTATGATATTTTAATTTTTGAAATTATTATTATCTTAGTAATATATTTTAGTTCTTTATATTATTATTATTATTGGTATATTAAAAGTCAAAATACTCATTATAAAAAAATCAAAAATCTATTACAAAAAGTCAAATATTTAACTTGAAATAATATATTTTATATCTTTGACACAATTATCCTACTACACACTAAAAATCATTTCATAGGTTAATAAAACTATTGTGTAAAATTATGATTTCAAACACAAATCACTACTATTTATTCCAGAAAGTGGATTATGTGCTGAAAAATCAATTCAACGCGTTGAAAGAATAAAAACTAATTAGTAATATAATTTTTATTATTATATAATATAAGTAATATACTTATACATAATTTATATTTTAAATATCATCATGACACCGTTGTTCATTCGGTACAATTTCAATAAAAATGCAATTATTTTTTCATAATATATCGCAATATAATATTATTTAAAAAATTAAAATAATATTTTATTTTAATTCAATTTCATACGGAACCTCCGAACCCCTAAGTTCTCTTAGTTTTGTTTTTTAATTTTTTTATTCAAATGTTTCCTTGTCCATTCTTCTATTTAAATATAAAGTTGGTCTATCCAACTATTTTTTTTTATCTAACATGATTATCAATGTAATATACTCTCTCCGTCCCGTAACAAAGTATCTATTTTTCCATTTTAGTCTGTCTCATAACATAGTATTCATTTCTTTTTTAGTAATTGTACTATCTACCTAACATTACAAATACCCTTACAACTTACAATATATTACACAAAAGATATTACTTTTATATCGCACATACTAATAAGGTTATTTTAGTCATTTCTACTTTATTCTTACTATAATTCAATATAATATTAATATTTTTAAAATTACGTGTAAAAAGCAAATGAATATTTAATTTCGAGACGGATGAAGTATTATTTAAAAAAAAAATATTCAATATAATGTTATAAAAGCTATGTACTATACATACACATCAATGCAACGTAGTCAATTGTGTGCTTTTTAGTTTCCTTCCTTGTGAGGTTTCTTGTATATAAATATGGACTCAAGAATGAATGAATATGCACACCTCACCACTTTTCTTTGTTGTTATAGACTCACACACACATATACACTAATATCTATATTATTAATACACGCGTGCATACACACAACAAACATATATATATATATACTTTAGTGTATATATACATACAATATATAAAATACTAGTTAACGTTATAAATAATTAATATTTTTATTGGCTAATCCTATAATAATATTACAATATATAAAATATTTTTTTTTTATATTACTAACATTATTCTCTATACTTTACGTAGTGTTTGCTTGGGGTTTGAATTTTAGGTTAGAATTTGAATAGTAAAATTTTTAAATTGAAATAGTGGTATAATGTAATATAAATAAGTATTGATGTGATATTTTGAATGTAAAATTAATTTTTAATATAATATAAAAAATAAAAAAATAAATCTTTGATCTACTATTTTTTAAAAAAAAAAAATTGTATGAATAGTATAAAATTGTCAAAATCCTTCAAAGAAAAGTACTTTAAACCAAAATACTAAATAAACAAACTCATAATATTTTATTGGTAAAATAATATATTTTATTAAAAATGATTGTTATACATGTTTTTATTATCTTATAAAAATTTTACAAATTTATATTTATTTAAATATGTTTTTACATGTTAACGGTTTTTGTATAGAAATAAATAAGTCATTTATACAATATATAATTTTGCACTTAAAATAGTATAATTAATAACAATTCTAAACAATTAGTGTATAAAAATAATTCAATATAAAATATTATTTAAAAAAAAAAAATCCAATCCTATATATTTTCTCCCTTAGCTAAAATTACTATTTGTTTTTTAGTTGTTCCTTGAATTTCTACACGATTCATTTATAGTAATCAATTTTATTTATTTAAAATTTTATTATTATTAGTTTAACACATAATAATCACTTTGTCATTATTTTTTTTACTAATCTCATTATTATTTTTATCAATTATTTAATAATTTATCCATTTTTTCATATTTGTTCGTCTCGTAACAAAGTATTCATTTTGGTTTTTTTAGTAATTATATTATTTACCTAACATTACAAATACCCTTTCAATTTACAATATATCGCACAAGTGTAATTACTTTTATATCATACAACACTAATAAGATTATTTTAGTATTTTTACGTTTATTTATACTACATCCCAATATAAAAACTAATATTTTTAAAACTATATGAAAAAAAAAACTGACAGATATATATGGGTCGGAGAGAATATTATTTTTTAATCTTCGTGTCCAAGTAAAATGACATAATTTTCCCAAACACATAGAGTATTATTTATCTTACATAACGCTTAATAAAATCTATTTTTTTTTACAAAATACTCCCTCCCTCCCACATGAAATGATACCTTTGGGTTGTGGCACGGTATTTAAGGTAATGTAATTTAGTGAGTTAAAAGTAAATAGTTTAGAGAAGTAATGATGATGGTTTTTATATAATTTTATTTATTTATCTATATAGATAATATTGTTAATAATTTTATATATTATTTAAATTTTAATATTGCCTTCGTCCCAGTCAAAATGACCTCTTTATTAAGGACACGGTATTTTACATATTATAGATTAGTAAGTTATTAATAAGTTATAATATTATTTTATTATTTTTATATGATTAGTGTTGTTGGTATTTTAAATATTTTTAGTATTATATATCAATAAAATATATTCAATATGGAACGATTTTGTAGAGAATAAAATTTTATATAATACAAATAAATAAAAAAATTAATTAATTTATTTATAATTAACTTGAAACTAATTTTATTAAAACTAAGAAGTTTTAAATATAGATAAAAATATTTATTTATTGAGGAAATATATAGAAATAAATGGGTTTTGAATGGGTCATACGTGTGTAAGAGGTTAGAGATTTAATTAAATTGATTTATATTTGTTGAATACGTTTAAGATGAATAAATTTACTAAAAATAGAAAATGATCATCTTTAATTGGACGGACAAAAAAGGAAAAATAGGTCATCTGTCGCGAGACGGAGGGAGTAATATTTATTACTTTTATTTTATTTTAAAATCTAATAAATTTAAATGTGTAGTAAAAAAAATTAACAATGAAAATTTTATATTGAATTAAAATAAAATTCATAAATTTAATTATGAAAATTAGTTTTAATAGTAAAAGTTTTATATTGTGTTATATTGTGTTTTATATTTTTTGTGTAATAAACTATAATCATTTAATCTTTAATCTTAACATGTTATTTCAAATTTAATAATAAAAATACAATATCAGTCATAACTATGAAATCATTTTAGCAACAATTTTAACACAACATAATAAAGCATTCCATATTTGAAAATAAAAGCATAATATCAACAATAATAGAACTAGAAACAATATTTTTAGCCATAATTTTAACATAACAAGTCATTTCAAATTTGATAATAACAAAATTATACAACATCAATTGTAGCAAAAAGATACTGCATTGTAGAGTATAACAAATCACAAATACAATATCAACCAGTTAATTGCAGTTACCAAAAAGCAATCTGGATATGAAATTCTGCCAAATACTCCCCAAATTTTGCTTTTCCTCCAATAGTTTCCCTTCAAAATTACATATGCTATAAACTACATTAAGGGGACCACAAAAAGTTTAACCTTTGCACTGCCATTCACAAAGATATACAGAGATTAGTCAAGATTCTATGCAGTAGAGTAGAGAAGGAATAAAATTTTCTGTAGTGTAATTTATCCATGTAAAAAATATATATTTATTTATTTTTACCTTATCTCAAACTATAGGTTGCTCGTGATCATTACAGTATAAGTTTTTCCTTGACATCTGGCCTACAATGACAGGGAAGAAAAATCGCAGTGATAGTGAGCGTAACACAATAGTTCAATTTTTACTTAGGAATCTTAAGAATGTCAAACCTGCTTTTGGGAAAATGGTGGAGCCACAATTTTTTTTTTCATATTCTAAGTGTACTGTCAGTCGGTATTGGAGGGATGCTAAAAAACAATTGGATAATGGCGACGTAATATACTCAAGCAGTAAAAAGAAAAATGTTTTTAAACCAAATAAAGTGCTT